CTGTACCAGGACCAGCTGCTGGGGCTTCCAGCAGTGCACCCTCTAGCCGCCAACTGGAGGACCGCGTTGACCACGTAGTGGCAATGCTCGGCGACATCAGCACGTTCGCTGCGCCGACCACCACCATCAGCAGTCAGCTGCATACATTGAAGACCGAGGTCCAGCAGCTGCAGACGACGAACGCAAATGGCAATCCGAAGATGTATAAGATGCCAACATTCACTCTGGAGAGGTTCGACCACCACACGCAGCAGGATCCGGCCCTCTGGTGGGAAGCATTCACAACGCAACTCAGGATTCTGCCCGTAGACAAGCATGCGTATATCGGCGCCCTGTTCCTGAACTCAAAGGGCGGATGCCAGACCTGGTTGACCCATCTGGCAACCTCCCACGGCGTCGACGTACCAGACTTGAAGGACGTAATCACATGGGAGGAACTGACACAGCTGTGGAAGAAGCGGTTCATCGTCGACGACGCGCCAGCACTCGCCATCAACCGACTGTTCACCATGTCAACACAGCAACACGGGACTGGCTCACGGAGTGGCAGAAGATTGCGGCTGTGCCCAATCTAAACTTACCATTCGAGCATCTACGCCGTGAGTTCTACAACAGGTCCTGTGCTACATTGAGCCAGGCTCTTGGTGATCGCGAGCAGTACTCAACCTTCGCGGAGATCATTGACAAAGCGAGGGAGATCATCAAGACCAATAGGTCAGCTGCACACGAGAAATCAACATCATGGCAKCCGACCTATGTGGAGAAGGTACGAACTGGTCCGCGACAGCAGCACTTCGCTGCAGTCCAGCAGGACAGTGGAGATAACCCAGCAGCCACTYCAGCATCAAGTGACGGAGATTAGGTGGCTGCTGTCCAACCGTGAAGCACCAACAAGTCTCGCAACAATGGGAAGGCGAAATCCGCATTGTGGGCCGGAAATGGACAGTCAGGRCAGTTTCCATGGGTCAAGTTTGGCTTGACCGAGGCGGAGTACAAGGCCCGCAGCCGCTACGGCAACTGCTATTGGTGCAACCGCACCAAGCACAAGACCTCCCGGTGCCAAGATCAGGGCAAGGAGGATGTGCGACCCCGCCTCAGCTCGGGAAACTGATTTCCGCGGAAGGTGAGGCGACTCCACCTTCTACTCCGCCAGATTCGGCCGCCTTGCTAGCGGCCTCCTGCACATCTGGGGAGGATGCGAATGTCGCAAGTCCTCGGTATACTTACGAGGATTATGCTGTCCACTTGGTTCCACCGCTGGACCAACCGCTCCACGTGCAATAGTCCACCGCATGCACGGTTTCATCACCATCGGCAACCGATTCGGCAGCTTCGCCGCAATCTATCGCCGGGGATTCGACGTCATGGTCAAGAGTTGATGAGCTCGACCCATTGAGGTTCACGAACTTCCAGTGGATGCCCGTTCCCTCCACCGGACGATTGCCGAAACCGCATTGCAACGTGCTTATGGCACAATTGCGGGACTACTTGCACACTGCAGTACCAGCTCCGTTGATGGACGCCGGAGCAGAGGTTGTCGACCTTCACGTTTACATCGCGAAGATCGACCGCGAGTTCAAGACGCAACGGTACGACGACATCGACGCACCATTGTTATACGTACACATTCAGATCGGAGAGGCGACCTGCAGTGCCTTGATCGATTGCGGAGCATCTCGCAACTACATCAGCCAGGACTTCATGGTACGCGCCAGCCTTGGCCCACGTGTCCGGAGGAAGTCCCAGCCTATGCAAGTCACTCTGGCAGACGGTCATACGCACAAGTCCATCGACCGATGCATTGACGCCATCCCAGTGTACTTTGCGCCACACGCAAGTGAGGCGGTGTCCTTTGACATTCTGGACACCAAATTCGACATGATCTTGGGCATGTCATGGCTGCGAAGCGAGGATCACCCGGTGAACTTCTTCAACCACACCGTTCACGTTCGTGATTGGAACAGAGTATTAGTTCCATGCACGGTGCCTCTTCCTCATCCTTCGATCAGCTGCCACGTGGTATCCGCCGCAAGCATGCGAGCTTCCATCATCAGAGACGACATCGAGGAGATGGGGGTGTGCTTTCTCCACGCCCTCCCGCCACATGACGCTTCATCGACGGACTCACCTTCGGATCCACGCATCATCGAGCTTCTCGACGCCTACAGCGACGTGTTCGAAGGCCCGCACGGAGTAGTACCGGATCGACCCATCCGCCACGAGATCATCCTCGAGGACGGGGCCTTACCTCCGCGCGGTTGCATCTACCGAATGAGCGAAGAAGAGTTAAGTGTGCTTCGGGCACAACTCGACGACCTTCTAGAGACAGGCTGGATTCGGCCTAGCTCATCGCCATACGGTGCTCCTGTTCTCTTCATCCGGAAAAAGAACAAGGACCTGCGGTTGTGCATCGATTATCGCAAGCTCAACGCGCAGACGATCAGGAACGCCGGCCCTCTCCCACGCATCGACGACCTTCTCAAGCGATTGGGCGGCGCCCAGTTCTTCTCTAAGATGGATCTCAAGTCAGGGTACCACCAACTCGAGATTCGCAAGGAGGATCGCTACAAGACCGCGTTCAAGACACGGTATGGGCATTTTGAATGGCTGGTCATGCCATTTGGCCTTACGAATGTCCCAGCCACTTTCCAAGCGGCTATGACGACGGAGTTCCGACACATGCTGGATCGTTTCGTACTTATCTACCTCGACGACATTCTGGTTTACAGCCGGAGTCTGGACAAGCATGTGGAACACCTGCGCACCGTTTTGGAGCAGCTACGACAGGCCAAGTACAAAGCAAACCGCGACAAGTGCGAGTTCGCACAGTAGGAGCTGGAGTACTTGGGACACTATGTGACGCCGCAAGGCATCCGTCCGCTTGCGGACAAGATCGAGGCCCTACAAGTATGGCCCGAGCCCACCAACACCACGGATGTTCGTTCATTCATGGGGCTGGCGGGCTACTATCAGCGATTCATCACCGGATACTCCAGGATTGCTGCACCTATGACGAGGTTACAGTCGCCAAAGGTGCCATTCGTATTCGATGACGACGCACGCCGGTCATTCCAAGCACTTAAGACGGCTATGCTCATGGCACCCGTCCTTAGCATCTATGACCCCACCCTGCCGACGCGAGTGACTACGGACGCTTCCGGCTATGGCATTGGGGCAGTCTTGGAACAGCACGACGGTGACGACTGGCACCCTGTGGAGTATTTCAGCCACAAAAGTGCCTCCCATCAACTTGCTTGATGATGCAAGGAAGGAGCTGCTCGCATTCGTGATGGCTCTCAAGCGCTGGCGGCACTTCCTCCTTGGGCGTCGTAGGTTCACATGGGTCACAGACAACAATCCATTGACCTA